ATTAACGTAATTAATTACCACTTTCACTCTTTAAAAACGTAATTACGTAATTAATTACGGGTGACGAAATTAATTACAGGTGACGAAACTAATTACAGGTGACGAAACTAATTACGGGTGACAAAACTAATTACGGGTGACGAAATTAATTACGGGCGACAAATTAATTACTATTGTGAAAATTTTCTATGCAAACCGTTGTTGACACTATACATGGGGATGGTAATTGCATAATTACCGTAAGTACATAATTATCGTAGTTAATTACCATTTTCCTCTTTAAAAACATATTAATTGCCGTATTGCAGGCGACGAAATTAATTACGGGTGACGAAACTAATTACGGGTGACGAAATCAATTACGGGTGACGAAATTAATTATGAATAACAACAAATTAATTATTGGAAATATCATAATACAAGTCACTCCCGTTATAACAACACTCTCTGTACAAACAAAAAATGTCAGCATGACGAGAATGTCATTATAACGGGAGTTCATATAGAGAATCATTATCACGTGATTTTGTAATTTTATTTTTATTATATATTTTATTTTTATTTCATTCATGTCGTTATAACAGAATAAATTCTATAATTCTAAAAAAAGTTGACAAATTATGTCATTATACTAGTATAACGAGATAAATAATAGGTGTTATTTAATTTCGTCATTCGTAATTGATTTCGTCACCCGTAATTGATTTCGTCACCCGTAATTAACTTCGTAATTAATTACGTAATTACGTATTACATATTACGTATTACTATTACGTTTTTGGCAAAATAATTACCATCCCATGTATATATGGAATACGGAGCCTGTATGGGCTGATAAATATATTTAAAAAATAAATAAAATAAATGAAACTAAACTATTTATAATTTACACACTTATTCAATATTAAAAAGGCTATCTAGTATGGATTGTTGTTGTGAATTAAAATTAAGGTTGCTTGCCGAAACTCCTCCAGAAATCAATCAGCAGAGTTTTTATCAGGAAAATGGGTACAAATATTATGTGTATATAATACACAATTGCAGGGATTAAGCATATAATATGCATACAAATCACGTATTTTTTTATGTATGCAAATTGTACATATATTATATGCTTATTCCCTGCAATTGCGTATTATATACGCATAATATTTGTACCCATTTTCCTGATGTATTAATATTTAATAATTGAGAGTGACACACTGAATTTCTTGATTTGGTAATGATTACCTCAGATCATGGCCGTCGGCCGTTATAGGCAACATATAAAACATATGAGAGAATTTTCAGAGGCAGGTCGTTATACACTATAGGAAATTTAATTAAGAAAACCGTTATAGAGTAAGGTTTTTATATAGTAAAAATTTGGGTTCTGATTCACAGTGCGTTATAGAATGGAGGCCGTTATAGAAAGGGCCGTTATAGAGAGAGTGAACTGTAATAAGTGTACAAGGTGAGTATTGACAAAATGATGATTATTGAGGAGATATTACTCCTTCTGTTACTAACAATATTCTTGTTTGCTTCTCTCTTCACTGTCAATAATAGCTTCCCAGGGATTAAGTTCTGAGACTACAACCGACGTTTTAAAAAATACTATGAAAGGGAATATACAATTGTGGTTTCAGAATTCCATACATGTATTAAACATCCCATTCAAATATCTTAAGAGGTTGTCAATAAATAATTCCCACTATGTAATAAAATATTGAATTAATTGTTAATAATAATAGACTTTTGTATTTGTTTGAAAGTAAATGGTTTTTATTTAGTGTGCCTCAAGGAAGAAGCAACAATAAAAGCGTTTTGCTTTAGCCAGTAAGCGAAGGGTTAGTACTGACGTTTGTTAACTAGTGTGCGTTAACAATGTTTAGTGAAGCATTGTCCAAGAGTGTTAATTGAAAAATACTGGTATTGTATATTTAACAAGCCATTCAAGTTGATTTGTAAATAAGTCAAAAGTGAGTTTACAATCGACCAACAAGTGTTAATAAGTAAACAAAAAAGGATTTTTATAGAAGCCTTGAGTTTTGTAAAAGAGCCATATCTATTTATTTGCAGTTAGTTATCCTGTACCATCAAGTGTGTTTATAGATTCGCTGCAGATTTCAAGAGGCAGTAAATCTATTAATTGACAACACTCAATTATTGAATATTAGCTGACAAGAGTAGCTCTAAAGTTAACCATAATCAACCATACTGGTTAAATAGTTGGCGTTAACAGAAAGGCTACCTTGCAATGTCATTTTTCTCTTAATTAGTTAAACATAAATAATATAATATTTTACATATAATACGTATAAATGCAATCTAATAATGCTTATTGTGTCCAAATTTCAGTCAAGGTAACAAAATAAGGAAGAAAAGTTTGATTGGCAGTTAGAGTTTTAGGATTAAAATTTTACCTTT